TGGCCGGGGCAGGCAGGTGCATGGCTCCCCGCGGAGCCCGGCTGCTCCGGGCTGGAGCCGGGTTTCAGCACCGCGGACAGCGTCCGCCGCGGAGCTCCCGCCGGCCGGGGCCGGGCTTCAGCACCGCGGACAGCGCCCGCGCGGAGGCCCCGCCAGGGCAGGGCCGGGAAGGCCCCTCGGACAGGGGCTCGCTGGGCTGGGGGAGGCTCACGGAGCTCAGCCTCTTCGGAGGAGGCTGCTCAAGGGAGGGCTTTGCTTTCCTTCTCCGCGTAGGATCAGGCATCAAAAATGAAACCCCAGACCTGGCTCAGGAGCATCCCGGCCCCCGGCACCTGATCACCCCTCTTTGCGGGATGGGATGGGAGAAGGCAACAGTCATCGCTTCGTTCTTTAAAAACCCACGACCGCCGTGGGGGGGGCTGTCCTTGCTGGGGAGATGAAGAGGGAGGGATCCAGCAGCTGGATGGGATGGGGCGGGGGGTTGTGTTCCACTAACATAGCTGTTCCCGGAGGATATAATGGAAAGGAAGACATTCAGACAATGCTGGGGGGTCAGCTTTAACCTTCTTTATGACATCAGAAGTGAGCCTAACCTTGCTCAGTTGTTTCCAAAAGCATGTAAGCAGAGCAAGAGGGATGGCATTAGATTTTAATTTGCAGGATTTTGCACAATAACCTCATTACTCACCAAAGCACTGAGCACAAGATTGGGGAGTTATGAGGAGCCCTCAGGAAAGGGCACCTTGCAGTTGCATTGATCTGGGCATAGTTACAAGATGGTCTCTGCTTCCTCCTTGTCCAATGAATGGAAGATTTTGAACAGCTACTTTTTCCTTGCTTTATTTTACTTTCTCCTCTGCATTGTCCGAGTTGAATTAAGGTGCTCAGTTCCCTGTGTATTCGTAAAATGAGAAATAACTGCTGCTTTCTTCCCCATACATAAAGTAGAGACCAGAGTTGTCTACATAGAAGGGTAATGAGGTGCTTTGAAATGTCATACACCCATATCCAGGTCATAGAACAACTCCCAACTGACTCCTCAGAAGGCTTTTACACTGAAGACAAGATCCATATCCTCTTAAGTCAGTGGAAGGACTTCCCCCTTCACCGTACTGGAGTACAAATCATATTTATCATGCCTCTAACCTTAGAAAATAATGGGTAATGATATAAATTTTAAGCAGCAACAAGACTGTCCCATTAAATGTTATTCAGTGTCTGTATTATTTGCTCTAATATCCACTACTTCTGGGCTCTCTTTCTGTAGGTAAAATGGGAAAAACAATCCTTTTATAAACAGAAAGGTCACAGTGTATATCATCATGAGGATGGGGGAGCAGACTTCAACCATAAGAACCTCTCTTAGTCTGTGTTTTATGTTTTTCAGATTCATAGTTGTGTGTGCATGTGTTGACAGCATCCTGCCTTTTTGTTTTCTTTGTTCTGATTTGACATGTCTTTCAAATGCAATGTTCTAATGTGTAATAATTTTTAATACTTCAATAAAAAAATTAATACATTACAAAGCAATTTGAGAATTCATTCAGTTGGGGTTTTTTCCCCTGAAGTAGACTCCATATTATATCCATCTATTCATAAAACTGATCACACCACTACTGCCTCTGTAATAAACCTTAAAGTAAACACAGGAAAGCTTTTACCATGGAAACTAAAGTTGCTAGGGATTGCTACTATGCAGCTGCATGTTCTAAGGCAGTGATTTGATCATACATTACCATATTTCTAGGGGATTGTAATATATGTATTGGTTTAAGTATAGAACCTAAGAAAAAAAAGGAAGCACTTTCTGTGGAGCAGATACAAGTTTCAAGTTCAGGCCCAATGCTCATGTTAAATCAATAATCTGTATTAGCAAAGGATACCCAAGCATGTATTAGTTTCTCACCAGAAAGATGATCTGTCCAGATTACAAGGCAGAAGACATCATTGTCAGAAGACCATGCCTCTTAGACCAGAATGTCACTCTACTCCAAACCACCAGGAAGGTGAAACCTTTTTGAGCCTACAGCTTGACAGAATCTTCAACAAGAGGGGCAGATTTCTATATAGTTTTTCCAACAGGTTGTAAGTTAATTGTGTATGTGTATGCATTTGTGAAGTAGGGATTAGAAATGTCTTCTTGAAAGCAGCTAGTAGCACTGGCTACACTTCATCAGTTCCCCATCCCCATTTCAAAAAGGGATATATGAGTTGATGACCTAATCTGTCACAGCTAATAAGATAGTTAGCCATGTTTGTCTGAAGACAGGCAGAAGGCAGTGTAGAGATGCCCCTTGTAGACCAGCATCTGATTAATATCTTGTTCATGAAAGCTTACTTACTTAGTAATATCTTGTTCATAAGTGTATGAGGTACATTTCCACTCTACCTTCTGTCACATCTCATTAGACTCTAACAAAAAGATCATGCTTGGTTTTTGTCTGCAAAGCCTTATTCTGAAAATGTTAAACTTTTCTGTTATAAAAAAAATCTATTTTTAAGCTTTTTCAAGCACAAAAATCCATGGAAAAAATAAATAATTCCAGAATGTGTGATTTCTCCTGGGCCAATTCCCTTTCAAGAACTGAAAACATCAAATGATACCACACCTGTCTTGACCCATAAGTAATGTGGTTACAACAAAGGCAACCATGAGGGATTTTTGTTTCCCCAAGTGGTGCATGATTAATTTGACTAATTTGATATAACTAATCTAAGTCCACTTCCTCTTCCATTCCATTCTCTTGAATTGAATGTAGTAAAGTACAGATATTTGGCCAGATCCATTGATATGCTTCATTAGTTTCAAATCATTCCAGTGAAACAAAGCCAAGTTTAGAGATGCTTAACCAACTTGTATGGCTGCTATGCTAGGCACAGGGCAATTGCAATATACCAATGAATCCAGCTCATTAGGCCTGACTGCTGCTTTAATCTAGTAAGTCATTTACACCTGTGAAAAGTGGGAGGAAAATGCTTTCCCTTCTTATCTCATTATGCACTGATGAAGATGATTACACAAGCTGCAAGCCAATAGAGAACCAAACACCAATAATTTCTTGAAAGAAGCAGTGTCACCCTGCAAATAGGTGGATGGAGATTCAGGAGAGTAGCTGCCTGTTTCCTGTACTGTAAGTGACCCACTGTAGGATACTGACCAGTCCCTTTAGTTTTCCTTATCAGTTAAGTATGGTTAATGTTTACAGGGCACTTTGAGGTATATGGATAATAAGCTATTATTATAGTATTGCATGTCTAAAGCAGGTTATAGCAATTTGGACCCAAGTATGACAGAGCTGTGCAAATAAGAAAAAGTTATGGAAATTATTAGCCATAGTTATAACCTGCCTGATGCATAGGCTTAGCAGCCATGATTCCCAAGTCTACTGCTAGCTTTTTATATGGTTTTATTCATGTCATTTGATTTTGTCCGACTCATTTAATTCAGCTGTATAATGGGTGTGGAGCAGTCTTCCACCCCACAGGGTTATGACTGAGCTAATTTAGTGTTTGTGAGGCATTTTAAAACCCCTGAAGCTATCAAACTATTAAGCACATTCTTATTTTTATTGCATATAGTTTTGCTCCTCTTCTCATGTCATTGTTGAAGCCTTGCCGTCTCCTGATGGAAAACCTTTATTAATGAGCAAAGATTGCTTTTACAGCTATTTCATTACTTTGGAGAATGCTGCTTTCTGTACTTGTACCCTCCCTTTTCTTCTTTACAAAGGAATATCTTTATAGGATCTTTGAGATTGAAGCAGGGAGAATGACTTGTGGGGGAAAAGATGGTTGGAATCATTGTTCTGTGTCAAGATTACAGCTAGCTAGTTGCTGGGTATATGGCTGTGATTATCAAGAAGACATGACCTTGATTTTTAGGTAAGGAATAAGAACAGCAGACAAGTCTCCAAAGGAACAAACAGCACTGTTCAGACACTGAACAACAAATGGACTATAAAAATATTCTGCTTATTAAAAAATGTTGTTTAAGAGTGTTTTTTCTACAATCGTTAACCCTATAATTTGCCATTCGTGTCACTTTTACTTGAGAACATATAAAGATTGAAGCTTATAGCACAACAGAAAGGCTTATCCTCTGTGTGCAAGGCCTACCTAATAATGTTTTACAGCTTTACAAATTGTCAATAATACTTGTAATAAGATCTTCTTACCAGTTATACCTTCAGGAAGAGATGAATAATCCTCCCATATGCTGTCTAATTTGCTCTGTTCATTTCAAGCAAGACAAATAAGGTCCTAGGTTGTTCTTGTTCAGACAGGTAGGGTATAAACACCCAAAAAGCATTCAGGATTGTCTGTGCTTTCCAGGGCTCCCTCCAACTTAATTACTACTTTCATGAGAGAAATCAACATGTATATTTTACCTTTGTAGCTAAGAAGGGGAGTCCCTGAGTTGAAACCCATCAAGGGGGGAGGATGTGCTGTTCTAACCAGTCCACAGAACAGAAAAGTGAGAACAGCTTTTTCTTGACTTGAAAATACCTTGAGAGGGGAGAACAAGCATACTAAGCATGAAGTAGAGAAAATGGAGTCTGATGGGAAAGAAGGACAGGCTTTAAATCTCAGGCAGGAAGTTTGCATAGCCTTGTAAACCTCATGGGCATTGTACCTGATCTGTTAAACCATAATTTGGCCATTGCCTTTAGAAAAAAAGTTACCATCTTGTCTGCAGCATAGAGGTACCTAAATTAGCTTTAACTGAGCTAGCTCAAGTATTAGAAGCAATCTAACTAGGGAAGAGTGAAGCTTCACAGACTAGTTTAACCAGCCCAAATGGCCTTTCCACAGATCATGATACAGAAATTCTGTATTCTAATGAAGGATTATCATAGAATAGTAGAGTTAGAAGGGAGACCATCTAGTCTAACCAGCTGGCCAAGGCAAGATCATCCCTAACTTAACCATCCCAGTCAAGTGCTTGTCTAACCTGATCTTAAAGACTCCAAAGATGGAGAGTCCACAACTTCTCTGAATAGCCTGTTCCAATACTTAACTACCCGCATAGTGAGAAAGTTCATCTTAATGTCCAACCTAAATTCTCTTGCTGCAATTATGAAATAGCTAGGAAATACAAAACAAATACTATTGACAATGAATGGAAAAAGAGCAAAATATTCCCCATCATTTACCCACAGAACCAACCAGATTCCAAAGGACTTCAAGACTGCTGTCATGACCACTGCCAAGAACTTGTCTGCCATCTAATCACCACGCTTTATATTTTCGCATTGTTTAAATGAATGCTGCAGTATTTGCCCATCTCCTTTAAGGTGTGTAAAGCAAGTAGTCTGTAGTCAGAGATATCCCATGGGGCACCTATACACCTGCAATCAAGGCTGCTCTGATATGGTGCAATTAAAGTGCGCTGGAGCAGACTCAATTAACCGAGTTGGCTGGGTATCATATGTATCAGAATCCCCATGCTGAAAAATGTTGGTGAGTGTGCTTTAACTAAAGCCCCCTCCACCACTTTTCAGCATAGGGACACCTATACAATCTAATTAAAGTGCCCCCCTTTCCCTCCCAGAGCATGTGTATAAATGCCCATGTATTTGTCATCACCTTGTTGCAGTTCCTGAAATGGAAGAAGATTAGATGCCCATGGAAGGAAGCTTTGTTTAAAAGAGGCTTTCTGTTGAGAACCTAGCCTAAAACAAGCATTTAAGGCATTGTTTCCTTGCTAAGTTACATTGTTTCCCTGTTATAGGAAGTCAACTAGCTTACTTAAAGCTGATGCCTTCTGATCATGCTCAGTCCATAAAAAGATACTAATGTGCCTTTAAATAGACAACATTTTACAAGTATTTCAGAGAGAGATAGTTGAAACAAGTCTTTGAGTAACACTTGTGTACCTCTAATTAAACTATTTGAAGTTCTGCTCTCATAAGTGTGTTCATAGTCAGCCTGCATGATTAAAAAAGAAAATGTGTGCATTGTTAATACTTCCATTAGAAAGGAAAGAATTAGGAACCCTATATGTATTTTTCACAGTAGGTGAAATCCTAACCTTATTCAAGTTGATGGTAGGTTTGGCATTGACTTCAGCGTGGCTGTGACTTACTCCACAAGTTTTTACTCTTCCCATTTTCCTCAGTGTGTTCAGTTAAAATAAATTAGTCACTTTCAAGTTGGTTCCTAATCAGTTTTCTTTGCCTCTGACCATCAAAAAGAAATCCTTTGAGAAATTAGAATTTTTTTCCTCAGAATCAAAATTGTTTACAGCTAAGCTTCATGATCAGGTCCTCCATAACTACACATTACAGTTGCATATTATCCCATTATTAAAACTTGTTTCACAGAATCAAAAAAGATAGACATCCAAAAGTTTCTGTGATGTTCTGAAATGGTGCACACAACTAACAAACTATGGCTAGCAGAGGCAGTAGTGTTTGGACTGGAGCTGGAGGGTGCTAGTGATGACTCCCCATCCTGAACTAAAGTAATTCTCCTTTGAACTGTGAATTTCTGGTTCTAGGAACTCCACAAGAAATACTCAGTTGCACCTCTAAGGTGCAAAGGGAAGGTGCAGTAGTACTGTCAATATCTATGAACTGCAGAGGGATCTGAGAACCCAGGAGTGAATGCTTGGCCAGAATAAAGCCCTTAGTTGGGGTCTTCAAGAATTCATCCCAGCAGAGTACTTGGAGCAGTACTGTTTGATAATGATTGATGTGGAATCTCTTTTCAGGAAAGAAGGATGAGCTCGTATGCAGACATCTGTGGGTCCAAGCAAGCACAAGGTAGTGCAGAGGGAGGTTACCATCGCTATGGAGTTCGATCCTACCTGCACCAGTTCTATGAGGATTGCACAGCTTCCATTTGGGAGTATGAGGATGATTTTCAGATCCAGAGATCGCCCAGCAGGTGGAGCTCTGCATTCTGGAAGGTACAGTCCATTGCCCAACGGGGGGAGGGGGGGGGAGTGTATCCCAAACTGTACAAAAACATAGGCCAAGGTTTTCAAAAGTAACTAGTAATCTTGGCTGCTTGACTTGCAGTACATGACAGAAACCAATTTTCAGAAGTTCTTGAGCACTGACACTTTGAAAATGAGGTGCAGCTAATGTATTTTCAATTGGGCATCAAAATATTGAATGACTAATCACTTAAAGACATCTTGGCCATAACTGAAATGTATAAATAAATGTATTGTTACTTGATATTCAAAGCATAGCTGTCATTGCCCTTAATGGTAACAACCTACACAGGAATGTATGATCAAACCATCATGAAGTGTGATAAGGGCCTGAGTTACTAAAAAACTTTGGCATTCTATGGAGAAATCAAGTTTTGTATTTATAATTGAAATTTGACAGAAATATTAGCAGTGGGTTGTAAATAAGCCATATAAATTAACCTCTGTGAGATAAAGATGTCTCATGAACAGGAGCTAGTAAGTATCACATGCAGAACAATATACAATGTAGTTCATTAGTAAAAACTGAATGAAGAGACTTTGGGTGCCAAAATACTTCCACCGCTTCCACTATGACAAAGTTGTTATAGCATCACAGTAATTGGTTATTTCATGTGTAGAGGAACTTTACACATGTGTAAAGCAAGACGCAACACACACTTTACAGTATGTAATATATTTCTTTTTCTTGGGAACTGCCAAATATGCATTTACATCAATAGCCATTGTGGAAGCAGTTCAAATACCACTATAACAGCTACATGTTTTAATTCTACGAGTTGAGTTATAAGGCACCTAAAAGAAAAGGTCTGCCTGCCTGCCGCATAGCTTGCCAAATACTTTGCATGCATTGAAAATATTAGCTGTATATGTCATCATATTAAATGAGGGAAACTGTGAAATACTATTAATTTTTAAACCTGCTTGTTTTCCAGGTCGGACTCATCTCCGGGACAGTTTTTATGCTGATAGGGCTAACAGTTCTGATGGTGGGTTTTCTTGTGCCACCAAAAATTGAAGCTCTTGGGGCAGAAGATTTTGTTGTTGTTGATACCCATGCTATTCAATTTAATGGCTCTCTTGACATATGTAAGCTGGCAGGAGCAATTTTATTTTGTATTGGAGGGACCACGATGGCAGCATGTCTGCTGATGTCTGCATTTGCAAAGAATTACTCCAAGGAAGAAAAGTACCTTCAGCAAAGGTTTAAAGAGAGAATAGCAGATATAAAAGCCCATGCACACCCAGTCACAAAAGCACCAATGCCAGGAGACTCAAAGATACCTGTCACTTTGTCCAAAGTTCAAAATATCCAACCTTTATCTGAAACCTGACATTTTCCTTTTTAATTTATACATCACTTAATTTGAAAAGGTCAGCTTGTGTGAGCATCTGATTTTTGTGTTTACAACACAGCAGAAAGTGCTCTGCTCTGTAAGAAAGATGCTGATTGGAAACTTTATCCAACAGAAATTTAGATTTGGCAAAAGAATGAAGTTAGGTGATTAATGCTTTGAGCAGTGGATTTAAGTGTTCAAATATGAATTCTGTATTTTAAAAGTGTTTGCCTATGTTGAACAGGTAACCATACAGAAAAACACAATCAAGCAGATTTAATTTATCAGATTGTGTGGTTCGAGAACACTGAGCACATTTAGACCAATTGTACCTTGGAAACCCTAAAATATGCTTTGTTTTAAAGTTTTTGGGATTTCTTTTCTGGTCATTTTTAATATTATAATGCTGTCTGGCTTCTTGTTCCTTAACTCTCCAGTCCTGCTGCACAGGGAGTCTAATCCTCTTCTGGATTTGGACTGGTAGTCTTGTCCTTGTCCGTGGTCCTTATAAAAACAGTAGTGCAAATAGGTATATACACAGGACACTAGACTGCCTATGTTTTGACTTTTGTCTTAATTCGTAACACCATATCCATAAGGGAAACTGACATTTTTAGACCTAAATGTACTGCCAACCCACACAAACCTGCCATTACACCACCTTTTTCCATCAGCAAACTTTATCATAAAATGCATTAGGAAGGTGCAAAATAATTTTCATCTAAGAAGAATGCCCCTTATCCTCAGCTGCTGCTAAGTGTCATGTCCCTTACAAGTCTTTGTCACACTTTTTTTTTTAAACTCAGAAAGACACACACACATATTTGGGCCTTATGAGGAAAGAAGTCATCAACTGTGGTTTACAGTGAAATTGTTAGTTCATAATGTTCTGTCTCACCTGAAACCCATTCATTGACCTTTAATATATCCATTAAAAAATATTTTAAAATGTTATTGTTATATTTTTATAGACAATAGAGAAATCTATCCGTACTCAGAATATCTTTATGTAGACACTTAGCCAACTACTTTTTTTCCCCTCCCCCTTCAAATGAGGCAATTGTATCACTGGCTTAAACCATAAATTAAAATGTACAAAGATGTGAACTTTGTATTCTCTGACAACATGTGCCACCTTATAGTTCTGTCTATTTTTGAATGGATTAAATAATAAAAAAAAAAAAAAGATATATATGAACTAATCACAAAAAAAAAGTGAGTTCCCTGGTCAGTCCTTTCAACTTGTCATTTTTCTTTAGGACTTCAAAATTTTATTTCAAAGGTGAATTAGCAAATGACGCTACTTAGTTGCTTGGCACACGGGAATCCGCAAGCACTTTGACAATAGAAGCGGTGTAGAAAAAGAATCAATTTCAATCACAGGGCCAAGATGGAACATGGGATCTGATGGCAATGACCTTGAGGCAGGCTCACAAAAATAGATTCTGTCTTACAAAAAAAAGCAGAAATCTAAGAGTGACTGTTCCCCCTTCCTTGATGATTCAAGAGCTCTGGGCCTTTGAAATCTTTCATGGACTTAAGAAGTACAGAAGTTAGGAGAATGGTTTCTTTGTGTGTTTTTAATAGCAAATCTGGAATCATTATTGTAGGAGGTTGAGAGCATTGAATACAATGTTCTTAATTCTACAAAAGTGAGCACAGAAAGATTGATTTCATTAGTGACACAAATTTTGAAATGCCCAAGGATTAAGACCATAAAAGAAGGATAATAGTAACACACCCTTGCAACCAAAAGTCAGAGACTAAAATTAAATAAATTCTGTGTCTATTTGGCAATCGCCTCACACCCATGGCTCAGTGAGCGTAGTACAACTCGTATTTAAAAAAAAAAGACGGGGGGAGGAGGAGGAGGAAAAGATTGTGGGGGTGGAAATCACATGCACTGTACTGGTTATAAATAAGTAGAGACAGCAAGTGCTTTCATAGCAGGGAGCAAAGTCTGACAATTGCTCATGTGGTATGCAGTAGCACCGAAATAGAAATATAGCTGCATCATTCACAGTTGCTTGTTGTGTGTTGCATGCGTTATATCCCAAAGATAAAATAAGGTAGGTCATTAACTATTTTCAAGACAGAAGGAGCCTTGTTTACTATTCTTTCCTCTACTGCTGTCAGGCTATTAGTGTGTAGGCAGCAAGAAGACAGACCGCTGACCTTTTCAATGCAAAGTTTAATTAAAGATTGTGTATAGTGCGAGTGTGACATTTCAGGTCTTGCAGTGTAGATCACTGGATGAAATTAAAATGATCACTCCAATCTCTTTTAGTTATTCCTATCTCTCCACTTATATTTTGCTGAATGCTGCATTTGAAGTAAAAGAATAAATCCAATTTTATGGAAAAACTATATCTATTTACCCATTTTCTAAAAGTGAATAAAAGGTAGAATTCATTTTTTTTAAAATGCATGAAATGATTTCTCTGGTGACATCTTTGCCTGGGAGATGAGATGTCCCAGTTGTTTGTGATTGGCTGAAACAAACTGAGCACTCTACTATATTGCCCTATAACCCCTTCTTTGGTTTAATATATTTTGACACTGTAATAAGGATGAGTCATTACAATACTATGAGCTGAGAAAAGACAGAAGAGGAGGAAACATGGCAGTCATATGCAGAAGTGGGAGGAGCACAGTAATAGGTTGTGAGTGATAGGAGCTAGGAAAGAAGATGGAAGTGAGGTGGAGGGTGACAGTCAGTTGTGGAAGAAGTGGCAGAATGATCTATAACCCCTAAAGTGCTCATGCCTCTAGAGCCAAGGATTAAGCCAAGAATAAGTCTCAACATTCTTCTTCAATCAAATAAGCAGTTGTGAAATCCATTTGCATCCTGTGCTTCCATAACAGCAGGCCCATATGGAAACAACAGCCTATCATGTCTACCACTTGTTCAGGTAGCCCAGACCTCAAGCACTTTAGATGCTGATATATACATTTGAACCCTGGCGATGAACCAGTCTGTTCCATAAGTTACCTAGCACAGAAGCCCACACAAGCAAATAAGACCTCCACCACATTTCTGGCTCTCTGTCCTTCCCACTGTTCCCTCATCTTACATAGTCCACTAGACAACTATATCATATATCTAACACCCTCTCCTCCCAACTCAGACTTTCAAAATTCAAGAAACACTTTCCAATACAAAGACTGGACAATGTCGTTTTCACAAATAAAATGTTAATGGATTGTCTCTTAAAACCCTGAGATACCACCTGCACCTAATTGTCATCTATCAAATCCTTACACATACTGTGAATGGTTTTTATTTTTCTTTCATCCTTATTAGACTTACAATTACAACAAAAAACTGCTTTATCATAAAGCCATTCTCTCTGAAATCAGCATGGGAGAAATCAGATTTTCCACAGTTTTGATTGGCAACCATTATTTTTGTCACGTTCACTTTGATGAATACACTCTCATGATGTTTATGTCCATTTTCCCCTACTGCACTGCATAGTGATTGCTTCACTTCAACATCAGTATTTCTTTCCTCACCTTCTGCCACAGCCTCTGCTGACACTTCTATTTGCCTTTTATTCCCATTGCAGAGTGAATCACAGGGTACTGGCAGGGGAACACAAATACTCTCTTCTCTAGTTGAATGTCAGCAGATTCATTCACTATTTATGATATAGCCCTGGCATGACATTTTAACATATTAGATTTTTAACCATGTGTGTTTGCAAGCATGCAGTCACACACAGAAATAGCTAAGACAGAGGAGACGAAGAGGATGGATCCTATGGCCTTTGGTGGGAGAAGAGCCCAGTATGGCCAAGCTGAAAGTAGGGACAGAATACCTTCTTCTTCAGTATGTTAAAAAGGTGCAGGGGAGGCGGGGGGAGGGAAGGGGGAAAATTAGTCTGAGATATGGAAGCAGAACTACAGCAGACTGCAAGAATCAAAGCTGGAATCATTTCAGGGTCCCTTCTGTATCACTTGGCAACAGCAAGAACAACCCTTTCAGTAAAACAAAGGTATTAGAGTGTAAGCCCATACAGTGCTAGCAGGTCTGTTGTACAATGACAAGGTGACAAGTCCAGCATTTCCTGAATCAGAGTTACCACAGCCTTCAAGAGAACAAGATGTCCCTGGTCTCCAGAGATAGGGTTCGAAAGACTCTCTTTCTATTCATCACACCTCATTAGTAGCCAAGAGCAATAGTACATAAAATAGTAGACTGTTGTTCTCTGAATAGATTCTCAGAGCCAGCTCTTTTCTAAGGTTGAGTGAACTGAGTTTTGAGTTCTGCCGGTTTGTCCCTAATTAAGTTTGTCCCTTTGGTGATATTGCCAAAAATAAGGTGTTCTGTGAGCCAAAGGTATGTCTCCCAGTTCAAACACTGAGAGACCACACACACCCTCATGGGGGCTTTCAGCTACCTGCATAAACACCACATCTGTGCCTTCATGCCTTTCCTGTCAGGGCTGGCTTAGAGAAGAGAGGACTCGCACTTCTCATTTATTACATTAATAGACTGTTGCATATGTTAAATAGAGTGAGGCTTAGTTCCACATCAGGTCATTTAAAGAGACAACTATTTTGGAAATAATCTTTCCCATTTGAGTACCAACTTGGACAATTATTCATAAACAAACATCAGCACAAAAAGAATTAAACAAACCTAGCTACAAATAATGCTCATGACTATTTTAAAGGCGCCATGTTTCAGTAAACCGGCACTTTATAACAGGGATGCTTCTTTTGTAACTAGAAAGGGGAGATCATTTTAAACACTGCAAACTGATTAGTAAAGTGTTTTGCTTTCTGCCTGTCCAATAGGTATGTATGCCATAGCTCCTCAGACAGGCAAATAGCAATTAGCTAGAAAAAAAAAAATCACCTTTGTCATCTGGTTAGCTTAATCAAAAGACTATAGCCTGTGTTACAAAAATTGCACCTACATAAAAAAAAAAATAACACAATCTTTACAGAGATAAAAATGGACACTGCTTATTATTAGCTTTCAAAAGCTAACACATGAGGGTATTAAATCAAACTCTGGACAAATACCTCTGTCTGATACACTGATCCCCCCAAATCATTCCTGTTTTGGTGGTGGGTTTGTGACAAACTAAATAAAAGATGCCTATGCATTCTCCCATTCAGGTACCAGTAAATAACTGTCTATTTTGTGCTGACTCCAGATTTCAGAACAAATGCAGCTCATTCTACTCCACTTTCCATGATGCTAGTGAAGATAGCCAACTGCATGCCAAGAAGAGCAATTGTCAGAGAAACCAGATGCTTGGACTAAAGGGCTACTGAAAAAGGGATGCAACTAGTTTCTAGGGTGAGCACCCAAAATATTGATCAACTTGGAATGAAAAGTATTAGCCATACACAATAACAAGGACATTCAAGGGGGAAAGGTCATTATCTGGGGAAATTTGAGATTCCCCAGGCAGGAAGAAACATCTGGAGGACACTGAAAAACGAATAGTACAGTAAAGACTGGTGTTGCTTAAAGGTACTTAGGAGATGTCTGTTGGCAAGAAGTAGTCTTTGGATCCTCTCATATCTTAAGGGTGAATTTTGGTCCCTAACTGTGGGGGCTGTTAAGAGTCCACAAGAAGGCTGGTCTCTGGAAATGCTGACAAGGATCTCAAAAGGACATCTTCAAACTCTTATCCTCTTGTCTGACTATGATCAGTTGTATTTCTGCAACCCTGCCCTCAAATTGTACAGTTATTTTTTCTTGCACAAATTTCTCTCTCCTATATATAATACATCTTCTGCTATTTTGTTGCCTTATTAATTGCCTGTGATAAAGCATGATTTCAGGATAACTGATATTCTAGGCTTACCTCTTTTTGAAGGAGGAGACCCATAATATTGTACAATGCAAGAGGGAGACTCCTGGAACCAGCAAAGATTTCCCTGCTGCAGCTGCAAGGTCTGGTGTGATGGCAGGTGGAACTAAGGCTTGCAAGGAAAAGGAGCCATCTCAGGGGCATATATTCCTTGAGACAAGCAGCAGAAAAGCAGGGAGAAACTTGGGCCTGTGGAAGCACCATGACAGCAGGCTGTGTGCACTAATAATATATATATTTTACTTTCAGTGATGACTTTCCAGAAGTCACCACTCCTGGCCCAGGCATAGTCATTGCTCAGCAAGAGCTGGTAGAGGTTCACATCACCCAGTCTCCTTAGAGATGGGCTCATCCCACAGCAAATGAACACTGTCTGGTTCCAAGCGGAAAGTCCCCTTGGCTCTATCCACTTTCCTCTACCCTAGAGAGATGGAGATAGGCACTGTATAATACAGCCCATCTTGCACAGGGCTGATTAGCTTGCTGCATGAGTTTCAGTATCTTCTGTCAATAAACAAGTGATAAAACAGGAACCACTAGGATGGACTTCTCAAAGGAGCCCAGGAGAATTAGGCTGAATTCAAGAGGAAGGTTGGACAACAAAGGAGATGTTGTTCAAAGCTGGCATGCCCAAGCTAGTTACAGGGGACCTTGCTCTGGCACCTTCAACAGTGGAACTGCAGCAGCAGCTACAACATGAGCTGAAAAAAAGTCCACTTCAGACCCAGGATAAACACATAAGCCAGGGGTAGGCAAAATGAGGCTCAGGGGCTGGATGCAACCTGGCAGGCCATTCTATCTGGCCCATGGGGCCCCTAAAAATATTTAGAAAATTAATATTTATCTGCCCTGGGCTGCCTGTCATACAGCCCTCAATGGCTTGCCAAAACTCAGTAAGCAGCCCTCTACCCAAAATAATTGCCCGCTCCTGACATAAGCAGTTTGAGGTAGACCTCATGCTGCAGTATCCAGGTACCCAAGGTAACTGTAGTCACACTGTGAGACTGCAGTGTAGACCATACTTCAAGTCCTTTGAATGCTTTTGAAAATCCCAATCCCCCCTCCAGCAAAATCATTGTGTTCTCCACTTGAAGACACCAAAAAGCAGCTCCTACTACAAACTGATTTAAGTAACATGATCTGGACTTTCCCTCATTTCCTGCTTTATCTACCAATATTAGTGTAGGTGCCTTATGTTCTGTACAGGTGCATAGTTAGCAGGCTGTAGCAGAGGTCTTTGGCTCCCCACTAAGAATCCAGATTTCATCTTCCTGCCTGGAAGCTTGCAATGGAATGAATTCACACCAATCAGGCCAGCTATTCTCAATCAGGACCACAGGACACCTGAACACACGTGTTAGGCTAGGCACACCTGTAAAAGTTCTAGTTTGTGATTTTTGTATTGGAGCTTTTTTCCATTTCAGGGCTTTGAGAAGCATGCTTGGGAAAGAGGGGCTCTCCATTTGCCTTAGAGGCAACAGGCTTTCAGAAGGGTGGCAGCTCATGGAGGGGAAGCATCCAAATCATTTCTGAAACTGAACCAGACCTCATCTTCTTTCAGGTGCAAAGCTGGGGGTGGGGAGAGAACTGTTGATATCTTTTTTATTGTTTTGGGGCTCACGCTGCAGTTAAACAGGCAGAGTGAAGCTAGAGCTTTGTTTGTTAGTACAGCCAAGTGTGAACAGACCTTAGCAAGTGAAAGGGGATGCACATGGTACCAGCACTGAAGCTTTTGCAGAGCAGCACTTGAAAGGAAAAAAAAAAAAGCTCTCCCCCACTGTATTGTTGAGGTTGACCACCAGAATTCACATCTGAGAGTGCTACATCCTGGGGAAAGGCTTTAATCAATGTTCCTTGGCAATGTGCCACTAACAAATGGCTGCCTCCACTCACAAGAGGCCACCTGTGAGAATCAGATGTGCTTTTTTAGGACAAGATTGCCAACTGGGAGCACCCAAGAGGTTGACAGTCCTGAAGTTATAATCTCTTCTATAATAAAACTATTTCTAACTCGTGTGATAAAGATGTTTGGAAACAAATCTTTTAAGCTGTAGTGTGCCAGGTCGTGGCTTGTAAGACACACAGAAAAGATAGCTATTATGAGAAAACTTGCATTCACATCAGGTCTCCTGTGAACCCGATTTGTTGGAAGCAACTCCAACAAGTTAGAATTACTACAGCACATCTACACAGCAGTCATACACTATAGGAGGATGAACAACTCCTCCTATTCATTTCACTAGCTGGGCAAGGTGTGGGGGTAATGCACAACAGAAATTTATGACTGAAGCTTCAAGGAAGGAAGATGTCAGTCTCTTCCACCAAGAATTTCCCACCTAGACAGTACAGGCTTTGTTTTCTGGAAATATCCACTCACATAAAGGAACTAGGAGAATAATTGCTGCAGTCTGAGATGGAGAGATTTATGTCACATATAGAAACAGATTGTATCCCAAAGGATAACTTAGGAACATTTTGTCAGCGGGAGAAAGATAAGTACAAGGGAAAGCCCATACTCAGATGCATAAAAAGCTACCTAAAATTGGAACTATTTGGTAATCAAGGTACCAAAGCTGTACAGTCCCATGTATTCAGGATAGGGAGCATGAGGGTGTAGCTTACCCATCTGATGTTTGGTACATATCCATTCACCTTGTTTCTTTGCTGTATGTCAACTTGACTCTTTTGAAGATAATCTTCCCAGTGCAGTAGAGCTGTTTAAAGTCCCTGCTGAAGCCAGAAGCACTTACTATCTAGTGCAAATGAAGAAAGAGGATCTACCAATCCCATTTCTTTATAGTAGAGCTCTGCCTCTAAGAAGAGCAGGACTGGAAAGCCAAGGGAACTCAGATCTTGACAGCTGCAGTGAAAGCAGGCATTCACTCCAGCTTCCTCCATCACTTTGTTCTCCCTTAGGGGCTGTCTTCTACATTGATTTGTTTGTTTCCTAGGGCTTAATCCTCACCCTAGAACATGCATCTTCAGCTTCTCCCTAGACAGCTTTGCCAACAAGCTCTTGCTCTCACAGATCATTCTCCCTACCCAAAACCCTCCCTAAAGTCTGTCTCCAGCCAAGCAGAAGGGTTTTAGAATCCTTCCCTCACCCTTGCTTACAGTCTTCAGTTACCTGCTCCACGAAAAAAATCAAAGCCCTAACCAGATTCAGCTCATCCTGTGATAGGCACATATTGAACTATATGTGCTACAACCAAGCCAAGTCAGGTGATGGGGTTGCAAAAGGGTCAAAATGAAAAGTGGGAATGGGACTCAGCTGTATCCCCATAATCAACGTAAACCACAGCCTACAACACAACCAGATCCTACCATAGTCCAAATGTTAACCATGCTTTAACTGAATCAGAAGACAATGTTGTGACTGGATCATCTTACTCAGCTATGGATATAATGTAGGCAATGCTTACTTCATGTGACAATTTCAAAAAATGTGATTTTAAAAGCAACAGTGAAAGGTCGGTTCTTTTGCTATACTATCAGGATTTATCACTGTACAATTTTTGTATAAAGCTGAAGGTATTAACTTCCAATCATTTACAAATTTCTGCAAAGTGGAACTGCTTGTGAAAGAGGAATAACATTTGTTTTCATATTTGAAAGCTGAACTCCCCTTATATTATGTATTATACAGACTGGGAGAAGAGCAAGAAATCTCTCTATTCTACTAAGAGTTGAAAATCATGTAATCTGTTTTTAGAGATGTAATTTTCTTAGAATTTTACAAGCCTTTTGTTGGAACTTTGACCTCTCGGTGTCATGACTTGGCTTGATTCTAAAGGTCTGAGTCGGTAGACTTAAACTACTGCTAAACTATTTGTGCCAAAGGTCAATGAAAGGAAAATTATTTCTCAATTTATAAGGTCACTGCTCTTACTTATTGCATCCCTGTCAGTTTTCACTCTCCCAAATCCAGTCTTCAGAAGACTACCTCCACTAAGGATCCACACTTATGAACACAATTCCCAAAAGTAATCCAATTAACTGCAATGAGCCAGAAATCACTGATAACACACACAGAGAAAGGGTTTATATACAGGCATCTTTCATCTGCTAAAATCTGATAAGACTTATAGAAGTCAATCTTTTTACTTTTAAAGTTTCTTTCAAAATGCTAGGTCTACAACAAGATAAGGGGAAAAAAAACACACAGAGATGAATGAAGGCATAGATTTCTCTTTATAAATAAATAGGTGTTTTGTTACCAAAAGCATTCTATCATTTTACAATATAGTGTCTGATTTACATAGTAGTTTTGCAAAGTATATTTTCTTTAATGCTTGTTTTTAAAAAAAATAATGTAACCATATGAGTTTGTGGCAAGGGCTGTGACAGGATAACTGCCAAAGTTCCTTTTATTTCTCCTCTTTGGACAGAAAGGAAATCAGGTAGATCCCAGCTGGAAATTATGCTTTGGATATGTTGAGCCATGCCTTTGACACCACTGCAATTATGACTGAATTCTTCCAGGTACCATAGTTTGCTACCAAGCATGTTGTTGGGCTAGCCTGTGAGGGGAAACTTAGCCTTCTTCTTTAGGTTGTTTCTTTGTGAGCTGTTGCTGATATCACTCATTTTGAACAGGAAGAGTGGGGGAAAGAGAAAATAATGTTGAAAACTACCTATAATTATCTGTGCAGCCCATGGCTTAGTTCTGCATGAGCATCCCATATAGGTGTATCACTAGCATGGAAGCTGAGAATGAGGCAAGTGCAAGGAATCAATGCCCAGACCAGCTACTTTGGCTTGATAGTAAAGAGAGGGTTTTCATCTTGGAGAGCATTTTCTTTCGTTTCACTTCAGAGTTTGGAAAACACAAATATCTTGAAATAATATTCCAAGTAGGCAGCTCAAATTAAGAGCTTGATCTCCCTTTCCCTCACTCTGAGTTACCAATTACTTGTGCAGGACTAAGGGTGCATACAGGTGAGATTCTTGAGGAAAGGTTCATGTTCTATTTTCCAACTAAGAATCACTAATGCTCACAAAGATTAACTAATGTGAACAGGAAGAATAATGATAGTGCCTTTAACTGCCCACTAAAACAAACAAGCAAATCACCATAATGAAACAGCATGTAATTGATATATATATTATAAGGCGTGAACCTCTCTCATTTATGCCAAACTAGGGACCATATGGGCAGTGGGCACCTTCTGAATTTGTGGTTGAGTGGGCTCATGAATCATATATACTGACTGCAACTTTGGCTCTAGTGAAGCCAACAGCAATTGTAACAATGTCTTCAGCGGGGCTAGGACTTCACTTTCTTTTTTCATGAAAATATTATAATCGCAGTATAATCATAATGTATATTAACTGGTATAGAGAAGCATAAGTTTTCATAGGTGGCAGCCTCCTTTGCCACAGCATCTGGTAAAGGAGTCTCATCTACAAAAGTGTATGCCTCTGAACTAGTTGGTATCTAAGGTGCTTCCCTACCCTGCTGACTTCAGAGTAACACAGGTAACTGCCTTTTATTGTATATATGCATATTTGTATTTTGCTGTTTTTCATGAAATGTAGACATCTGCAGGCAACACTTGAATGCTGGTATTATATGCTAATGAAGGTTATATGTGCATCATCCCTATGATTTAATGGCATGTTCTGACTTAGATAGCCATTATGTTGTAGCTAGAAGGAAAGACTTCTATATTCTTCTTCGAGCAGAGAGCTGTGTTAGTTTGAAGGCAGAATGGGGGAACATCTTAGGACTCCTATACACGTGCAGGAAGCCTGTTTCAATGTGCTGGAAATACAGAGCATCAGAGCAGACTCAATTAATCGAGTCTGCTGGAGCGCGGAAATGAACATGCTCCAGTAGACTCTAGCGTCATGTGTATCAGCATCTCTGTGCTACAAAATGGCATGAAGTGCTTTGAACTAAAGCTTGGATAAGCTTTAGTGCAGAGCACACCGCCACCATTTTTTCAGTGTGGGGATACTGATACACGTGATGATCGGGTGCTTTTAATTAGCATGATTCACTAATTAAAGCACCACCCACTCCCACCTCCCGGAGCATGTGTAAAAAAGCCCTTAGAGACTTACTGACTGAGGGAGACATGACCTTTCATAGTTAACAACGTACTTCTTCAGATGGTATCTGACGGCATCTGATGAAGTATATCAGGAATTGGCAGCCTTCTACTGACAGCAGGCCACCCCTTGTGACCCAGTCAGTACTGCCCACCCCCTGCTGCACCCCAGTTCCTGCTCTGTGCAGAGGGGCTGATCTCTTCCCTGAACATTCCAAACTAAATCGCTTTATTTTTTTCTGAGCTCCTCAGCTCCTGGCAGATTTACTGCTAGTTGTAGGCTGCTGTTCTTACCAGCATCCAGATAAGTGTTTTAAATGTTCTACCTTAGTGCAGCAAAATGCTTAAGAATATGTTTTACTTAAGAAAACACATGTAGTCTCTTTTCAGTGGGTAGGATATTACTGGTTGTAAGGGTGTCCTGCATTATAAATATAAGATATCACGAGAAGCCAGTAATATCCTACCTATCGTAAAAAGGTACAAAACTTTACCTGCATGCATTGTGCACGTTTTCACACAGCCCCCCCCCCAACACACACACACACACACACACACACACACACAGATCCATAAATAGCAATCCTTAAGTAAGTCAATGGCTTACTGTATACTGGCATGTCCAGAGTGTTTTTGGCTAGAAGGGAAGAGTTTTGACCACACAGAATTATGTTTTCTAGGAATATTTACCCTGGGGAATTGCTCCTGTTATTACTATTGCTGTAGAGTCTAGGGCTGTTGCCCTCCACAGCAGAGACACATACAGTAAATGGCAGTCTCTTCCTCATGAAGCTTATAATCTAAACATCAGGACATAAGTGGATGGAACAAATCAGGGTGAGGCAGTAGGTAACAAAAATAATGGGATATTCTAGTACAGCTTAGCTGTGCGTACAACTCAGCTGTAAGAGTAAATCACAAGTCCTCTTGTGAATTATTGCATTTGTGGTTTAAAAAAAAATAAGCTGCTTTATAATAAAATAATTTTAGCAAATCTATTCTTCCTTAAGATATTTTATTTAGTTTTAGGTAATCTTTAAAGGTTACTTTAATATAACTCTAAGACAGTTATTCAAAATACCAATAGGCAACACTCTGTTTTGTACCTTCTGATATTTTGGAGTGATTTATTATCAGCTAAATTACTTACTCCTATTTTAGATGGGATTTTTTAAAACAATTTCTTCACTTTTGTCTTCACTTCACTTGAGATATATTGTAATTTGATTTTGCACCTACTTCATCAAAGCATTTAGGTCTGAGTTTAATTATAAAGTGTCTGCTGTAATCTGAGGGGATTTAAGCATATTCTTAAATGAGCTGCTGAACTGGAAATAATCTCCCACTATAACTCCACAAAATGTTTACAAATTAGAAAGATGTACGGGGATTTTGATCATTTCCTTGGATAGCACCAGTGAAGAGATAAAGTTACTCTTATTACTGGTTGAATGCCAATGGTGAAGAACACATATATAAACAAGTCCATTCTTAATTTGTGTACTATAATCCTGAGAAAATGCCTCCTCTCCTAAAAGCCAAGATTTTCAAATAGAACAGCAATTTTGGGTACATACATTTATGGTGCCTAAACTGAAATAACTTAAAAATGGACCCATGTGTCAGAAGACAGGGGATCAGCATTAAGCCTCAGCATGGTGTCTCAAGACAAACATCCAAAAATGAAAATACACAATATTAAGTCATTTTCAAATATTATAATATGTAAATACATTATAAATATACGTAACTACACTATATATTTGTATTTACACACCGTAACTACACTATATGTATATGTGTGCATATGTTTATGTGCATGTGCGTGTGTGTGCATACCTGAGCTGGGTCATTCTGGCCCCCCTGCTGGAAAACTTTACCAACCTTCAGCATAAACCCTCACAGCTCTGAAAATTACTACAGTGTTTACAAAAGGTTTTATGTCACCATGTCAAGTATAGAATAAAGCCTAGAACTGGTTAGAATATATACACACACACACACACACACACACACGTGTGTACACACACACACCCCGTATCTATCTAATAGTTATGATATCATCACAGCACCACATTGTCTTCTACATTTGCAGAAACAGGCCCACAGAATTTGACTTCTGTACAATGCAAAGACTGTAGGATCAGACTGCTTGCATTGTAATCACTAGGGGTGGCAATACATGTGCTTCTGGGTGGTGGGGGAAGGGCATTTTAATTCAAGCAGCTTTTGGGAGCCACTAATTAAAACGTCACAGTGTCTCGTGTATTTAGTGTCCCACATTTCAAAATGGCCACATGGGTGCCTTAAAGCTTGTTTGCCAAGCTTTAGTTAAAGCTCCCCACTGCCATTCTGAAACGTGGGATGGGGAATACATGCAGCACTGCAGCACACGGGAGCATTCTAATTAGAACGCTCCAGCTGTCTGCTCCAACATGTTCTAATAGAAACACTTTAGAGCACATGTATAGGCTGTGCTAGGTTGTCAGACTTAAAATCAATCCTCCAAAGATTGGGTTAAAAGACCAAGCTGCTTGTGATCTAAAATCAAATTTAGAATCTTTCCCCTTACAAGCAAACTGTTTTTAAAAATTCTAATTTCTGCATTTGAAGTTAATACAATAACACATACTCATAACTTGCATAAGCCAGCAAACATATACCAAGCAAGCAGAAAATCTGTTGTCAGGGCCCCACACACAGTTGCAATGCTTTTTGTTTCAGTTTTACTGGGAAGTCATCAGCACTACCTGTGTCCCAGCAAGCTAAACCTCTATTTGAAATAACACAAGAGTGCCTGGTACCAGCACTCATATTTGTAATTATATGTCACTGCAAGAGGTAACATACTGAAAATGCTAATGCTCCTGTTTTCTAAAAAGCTGTTGCAACTTTATAGAAAAGCATCCAAAGATGTTTTGCAGATAACTAGGACAGAAATTTGTATTTAAAAATTGAATATTTCCTCATGAAATGCAGTAAGTTAATAAAGTTAAATAAAAGTTAATGGTATACTGTCGAATTTTTATAACTGACTAATTTAAAAAAACAATTTCAGTTTTACCTTTCAAATAAAGGTAAAGAAGAGTCTTTAAAAAACAAAACAAAAAAGGATGAAGATTTTGTTGTTCCCACTAATATGGAGAAGAACATTTTCAGTATGGGAGACACTGACTTTTACAGAATGAGACAGACTGTTACAAAGTGTTATCAAATACATAAAACAATAAATTAAAAGAAAAATAGTGGCTGGAGAAATTTGTGGTTTCCAATTATAAGTGATTTTACACAGTTTTCAAAAACATTTTTTGCAATTTTTCATGAATTTAGTATTTTCTTATCAACAATAAAAATGACATTAAGTCTTTCATAGTAACAGTTTTCTAGCATAAGCAATAAAATAAGCTACTCCTAAGCAAGACCTAAAAGTCCCACTTGCTTTTGTACAATAAATGATTTATACACAAGATCTGAGAATAACCCTGTGCTTATGACTTCCTACTTATTGGCAGCATTGGTCAAGGCTTGGCTCCAAAGGGGCAATAGAGTCAATGTCATCAAAGCTACCACATTCTAGATGAATGCTTTATTTACTAATGCAAATGACATCACAGCCTATCAGGAACCAGCTAATTAGAAGAGGTGAAATTAACTTTGTTGTCATTGAGAACTGTCATATACAGAACACCTAGCACAGAGTTTTGTGCAAAACTGGTGAGCAAGATCCTCAAGTGGTATGTAAACTCATATGGCTCCATTGACTTCAATGGCACTATGCTGATCTACACCAACTGAGGATATGGGTTATTGTTTTCAGTGATAAATTAGTTTCTTATTGCTTGAATTTCAAACCAATCAAAATCCAGTCTTTATAAAGCTAGTCAAAGCTAACTGCACTTCTATGTACCTGCTCTTTAGGTTTCTTAACCGATAATATTATATACATTTAGCATTTTGACCAGATACATTACCAAATTTTGAAAAGCAAATAAATCAGTATGTTTCTGAGAGAAGCTGTCTTCCTCAACAGCCCAAATCCTGCAAATTTCTCCACATGTGTGGATCATTATACATTGGTACACCTGGAGAAATCAATAGGGCTTCTTAGAGCAGCAAACAAGCTGTAGCATTAGTTTAAACTGTACAACATATATTTATAGTGCTAAATACATGCTTTGCATTAATACAATCTTCCCTACTGCTCCTAAATTGAATGCAATGGAAAGCCACTGTCCAGTAACATTGGGAAAGACTCTCCATTGCACTGCACCAGTTCTAGCCGGGTATAATTCCATGGAGTAGAGAGTCTGATTCATTATCTCTGAAACATATACTTGGAAACAAAGTACATGTAATATTTTTAGCAGCTTATTAATCTAGGAAAAACGTTACACAAATGAAAAAGTCACAAAAATATTTATCTTTCCTAGATAAATCTGTTGAAAAATTCTGAAGTCTAACTTATGCTTTTTTGAGCACATTGGAAAAATGCCACAGAGTTGATTCTATTACTATTTATCATCTTATAACACAGAAGAAATAGTTCATTTATTTACTGCATTGCTAAACAAACCCCTTATATTTTCCCCTAAAATCTATCTGAAAGTCACATCTTGAGAAAATAATTCAATCTTCTTTTTAATAAACATTCATGTTCATTATCTATGTCATTCTATATGGCAATACTATTTCAAGACTCAATAGGTGGTACTCAACTCTATCTTCACATTATAAATTATCAATAACAGATAATAACATGCTTTCAATTTCAAATATTACAATCCTTAATTTTCTGCTAATCTACTTTTTCATGTCTATGCCACAGCAGCATATTCATTGGTTTGTTCATTTTTTTCACTTTCTTGTGGGCTGGTGATAGTTACTCTTGGGTTTGTTGATGTTTTTTCAGGATGAGTGTCAGCCTAAAGAAAAAGGAACCAAATAAATATTTTCAGTTTATTGGGTAACAGATTTCATTGCATTCCAATGTGTAGTTCATTAAATATGTCATGCTAGAATTGATGTAAAACAATGGAGGCTGAGAGTCTTGTTTATCTTGAATAAATAGGATATGTAAAAGCAAAAGGAGCAGATTTTTTACCCCAATTAGAGCATGTCTCTGGTTTATTCCCAACCAGCAAGCATACCTTCCAAACTGGACCTCCAAAAAGTGTTACCTCTCTTGACAGCATCAATCAGAGGTCAGCAGCCTATGTCCCAACTGGATATGGCCTGCAAAGCCTTTGGGTTCAGCCCACAGAGCCATGGCTATGGCAGCATTCAGGGACAGGAGTCTCCCCCTGTGCCATGCCACAGCCAGTCACCTGGGGCTCTGGTGGAGAGGAAGCTCTGCCTGCTCTACATGAGGGCTTTTGCCATGCCACACTGGAGCTGAGCCATGGGGAGGAGCAGTGGCTGGGCCCAAATGTCTATTCACCTCCAACCTGAGCTGGATCATTCTGGCCCCCCTGCTGAAAAAACTTTACCAACCTCCAGCATAAACCCTCGCAGCTCTGAAAACTACTTCAGTGTTTCCAAAAGGTTTTATGTCACCATGTCAAGTATAGAATAAAGCCTAGAACTGGTTAGAATTAATTTCATTGGTACACAGCCTTTCCTTCTGTGGTTCAACTGAAAAAATGAACTTTACATATCACACAAGTGGAAACAGAATAAATGTCCACGTCAGAAATAAGAAATGCTATTTTGAGGCTCATGAGACTGTATACATATATAAATGTTCTTCTTTTCCTAATGGTACAGAACCAGGCAGTGGTCCATCCCACTTCAGCACTGGGGACTACAGTATTTTTACACATTATATTAACATATTATATTTATACCTACCTACCACTTCAGCTGTGAAAAATTTGTTTCCTGATCAAGTTGCACATTGGGATAGTTCCTGCGACACTAGATATTCCCACTTCCATTTCCTATTGCTGAAGGCCCTTTCTTATTAGCATACAGAAGAGTACAGCAGCAATCATATCTAAGTGTGATACTCCACTCTTTGTCTTCAGGGACAATACTTGTGTTTTTAAAGAGAGTCCCTTGCCTGTAAGAGCCTTAGTTAACTGTCTCTTTCAAACCAACCAAACAAAAGAAATCAGTTGTGCTGACCCAAATAAGAGTAGCAATGTTTTTTAATGCAACTTCTGTGCATGGTGACTCATCCAACTAAAAAAAGTATTACAGTTCTGTAAACTAGTAGGCATGAACGGGCAACATCACATTGTCTCTCTGCTCTGACCAAGGGAACAATGAAGTATCAAACCATACAAGAACTTAGCTCTTGAGAGTGAAAATGTTCTACACATCCAAATTTCTGCCTAGTCATGGAAGCAGGGCCAGCAGACTGGACCACGGGATGGAGCAACAGATACATTACATACTTTCCAGATGGAGAATGAATTCTGAAATCACTGCTCATAAGATTGCAGGGTAGGCTCTAGAGATACCTATACACATGCTGAACATGTACTCCAATGCGTGCTAATTAGAAGAATCAGAGCAGACTCAATTAATCAACTCTGCTAATTAGCATGCTCCAGCAGCCTCTGCTTCACATGTATTCAGCATCCGTGCGCTTCAAAATGGTGGCAGGGGCAATTTAACTAAAGCTTGTTGAATGAGCCTTAGGTAAAGCACCCTTACCGCCATTTTGAAGTGCAGCACACTGAAAACACATAACACTGCCAGCACCTTAGAGCAGCCCTCGTGGCCACTCTAATTAAAGCATCCCTCCCACCCTGGAGCACATTGTTCCTCCAAAATGAAGTTCAATGGGCCTCAACTCAAGGCCCAGAAACCTAGTGCTGGAATGAAGAAGTAATAGCATAATTGTAAAAAAGTTTGAAAGGATTAACTGTTACCTGGCTTTGACAATCCAATTCCTCTTGTATTTTTGCTTCCTCTTCATTGTGACAATTAAGCTGTTCCATTGTTTCACCATTCTCTGCATTTGTTTTGCCATTTAAGGAGGTTGTCTCATCTTCTTCCTTTGAGCCAACCTCCTCATCTTCTCCCTCCTCTTCTTCATAATGCCCATTTACTTCCTCTTCATTTTCTTTCAGCCCATTCCTTTCATTACCAGCCTCCAAACTTTCCTCTCCATTCATCTCTCCATATGTTTCCTTTCCCTCATCTTTCTCTTCTTCCTGGTGGTCATTTTCTTCCTCATCTACAGTTTCTGCTGGCCTCTGATGAAAGCAAGAACAGTATTATACACTGGCAAGCATCTGTAATCAAAAATAATGTGCTGTAATATAGTATGTACATAGGCTGTGGATAGACATAACAATTGAATTGTTTCAAAGGGCCAGCTGTACCACTTACAAGCCTTTTGAAATATTCCCAAAGTGCATGAAGGGCTCCAAAATGGTACCTTTTTAATGAGGTACTATTATGAAATATTTCATTTTTTTGTTTCATCTCCATGGAAGATGGAGGGAGTGCAGGTGGACAGCCTGTGAGCTGTCTGGCTTCCAGGTCCCACTCTGGGTCCTGAGGTACTACTAGACCCTGCTGGGATTCCTCACTTCTTGCTAGACCCAGAGCCAAGTTTACCATCCAACCCTGACTACCCTCCCCTCCTATTCCCCTCCCAACTCCTAAGGTCCTCACCAATGCCAGGGTTAGGTCCTCCAGCTCCAATTTCCTCTCTCAGGCAAACAGAGAAGTAGGGAGAGAGAAGAGGTAGAAGAAATTGGGGCTGGAGTATAAGTCCCAGTGGCAGGCCCCCATCTAGGCCTGATGTCTGACACATTAATTTGATTGCAATAAACTGGATTTTCTACTAGTCAAATAAATTTTCCCTTCAAACATACTCTCACTATTCATTGAAAGATGTTTCTGGTTGTGAAATGTCATTTGACATTTGCAATTTGGTTGTGCAAGCTTGGAGAACAGGCAACCTGAGTCACTGCAAGAACACTAATTTGGTGGAACAGTACACTGTGTCCTTTTACCTATGAGGAAGTTACCTTACACT